AGTACATCCAGCATTTCCCAAGCATACTCTTTAGAAAGGGCAGCATGTAAGCAATGGTGCATGGTCCAAGTTTAAGTGGTGACACATTTTCATATGTTTAACCTAACATCTCCATCACTACTTAACATGCCATGGTTGAGCTTAAACCCATTGCTTAACTGGTGACAAACACCTAGGGTGTTACATAAGTAATCAAAGTTTCCTCATTCACAAGAGTTCTAAATGTTTCGAAATTGTGGTAGAAAAGTTCATACCACATTTCGAGGGGGAGGAGTGTAAGATTAATTAAGAAAGATACTTCCCCATACTTCAGATAATGCAATGCATACTATGCATTGAAGGTAAAAGTGATCTATAAAAGATGAATGTGATCGTTGAGGGAGTAAGACAGTCATAATAACGATACCCCTAAAGTAAAGAAATAGCTAAATTCCTGGACCTTTTATAGTTCCGATAGGAAGATAGCATAGTCGGCTAGTATTCATACTAGACGAGTTCAGAGTTATCAAGGCGGTGCTAAACGCGCCGTATGAGTTTTTTTAGCAGATTAAACCCAAAATAAGAAATTTGAAGATACACCATCTTTACAGAAGATGGAGTAATCTAGGGGAGCATGGTATGTAGATACCTAAGGCTTGAATAAAAGTGGGATTACATATCCACTACAGTGTTTTTAGAGCAACAAATTGCTTTATACATGCTGATGTCGTATGACATATACAATACCAGATGTTAGCTCTTAAAGAAGATGAATAAGTAAACAAGGATCTTGTGATACAGGAGGCTATAAAATAATTGTCTTTTGGCAATGAAGAGTAACAATAGCCCATATGAAAGAAGTGCCACGAGGCCCCAGAAGGTCTCAAAGAATAAGAAAATCAGATATTTCTGGTGACTAAGGAGTCAATGTTAAGAAAGAAATTCAAATGGAGGGTAATTCCACCTCATTTGAAAAGCCATGAGAGGCGTTCACTCGTCTAAATGGCAAGAAGCAAAGAAAGATGAAATGAAATCGATAAATACCAACGATGTTTGGGACTTAGAAGAAATTCCCAATGGAGCCAAAACAGTAGGCTGTAATGGGTCTGCAAGACAAATGTGACTCCAAAGGGAATATGGAAAGCTATAAAGCGCCACTTGTGGTGAAATGGTTTACACAAAGAGAAGGAATAGATTATAATGAGCATGTAAGGATTCTTTTAGAATCATAATGGTGTTAGTGGCACATTACGATTTACAGTAACATTAGAAGGATGTAAAGACACATTCCTCAACGGGGATTTGTATGGAAAAATTTGCATGGCATAACTCAAAAGGTTTTGTCGTGGAAGGAAAAGAACATAAGGGATGTTGCCTAAAGAAATCCATTTATGGATTAAAGCAAGCTTCAAGATATTGGTACTTGAAGTTTGACAGTACAATAAGAAAGTTTGGGTTTAAAGAGAAAGTAGAGGACAATTGTATTTATGTAAAGTTTAAACATGGGAAATTTATTTTCCTAATCCTGCATGTGGGTAGCACCTTACTCGCTAGTAGTGGTGTTAATCTAGTGTTGGAGAAGAAACAGTTCTTGTCCTCAAGTTTCAATGAGAATGATTTTGGTAAAGCGTCATTCGTTCCAGGAATTGGAACTTACCGAGACAAAAGGAAAAGGGGTATTAGAACTATCTCAAGTGTATACTTAGAGAAGATTCTAAAGAAATAAAGCATATATGTGAATAAACCTGCGCCTGTTCTTATAGTCAAGGGTAATAGTTTTGGGAACTTTCAGTGTTCTAAGAACCAATGTGAGATCGAAAGGACGTCCTATATGTTTTAGTTGTTGGAAGCTTAATGAGTGCTTATAAGTAAGAACTTACCCTGACATAGTTCATGTATCCAGGATGTTTTGGCAGAAGTCTAGTCCAGATATAGATCATTGGAATGGAGTTAAGAATGTTTTGCAATTGTACAAAGATTTATAGACCTCATGGTGAGTAAGAAAGAATAAGTACTCTCAAATAGTTGTGGATACAAATGTTAAATTTTGGCGAGATGTTTAGTGAAACCCACATAGTAGCTAACACTCGCAGTTGAAGTTTTATTGTGGAAAAGCTCTAAAGAAACAGTTGTGGTGTCATCAAAGATGCATACCCACAATATAGCTTATTATGAGGCTTAAGGACAGGCGAAATGGTTAAAAAAACTTACACCCGGAATTGATAATGGTATACAACAGCAATAACCATTTAAGAAGTTCGCTCCTATAACAACGGATCAAGTGTGCTGCCAAACACATTGACGTTAAAGTTATACGTTGTGAAGGAGAAAGTCCGGAATCATACTGAAAGTAAGTAACAAGCAAGTGCTTGTGGATCCGCGTACAAAAGGCTTACCATCCAATGTGTTTGGAGAACACACAGTCGACATGGGTTTATGGTATAACCTATGATTTCCGGACAATAAAGGGCCAAAAAGTTAAAAAATCTGTTTCAGAACAGAGACATGTATTATAGTTGTTAAGTCTATCGACGATTGACCGTGACGATGAAGCATGCTCTACGCACTAATCCGTGATGGAACAAATAAAAGTGAAAAGGATTAAAGTCAAAGTTTAAAGTTAAAGTATGAGTTGAGATCAAGGGGGAGAATGTTAGAATTGATCTCATCCGTCTTGACCCAACGGTCGAGACAGACCCCTTGACCGCGTCTTGATCAGGGACGTCCAGCCATCTAATGGCTGGTGGGCCCCCGTCGCATAGTGCCTATAAAGAGGAGGTGGGGTAAACGGCTCGGGATACGAGGTTCACCGCCGCCACAGCCCCACGGTCCTAACCCTAATCCGATCTAGAGGGTGGCACTGCCAGCGGCGGGAAGCGCCACTGCCTTTACCACCACAGCCGGTCTCCACCGCTACTTCATCGCCCGTCGCTGCCCTAGCGCAGATCATCACCGGCGAACCAGCGAAGGCAGGGAGCTCCTCCAACCCCTCCGACGGTCAGATGTTCCTACATTTCCCTCTCTCTCTCTCTGTCTCCTACTCCCTCTGAATCTCTAAGTCACTGATTATCCCAAATACAAGTAAACACCCACTAGATCCACTCCTAGATGATCTAAAGACTCAAACATTGGCCTCTCTCGTGCTGGTGGGGCACAATTATCTCGCTCGAACGATGCTTCCGTCGCCTTTTCCTTGTCGGAGTGGGGAGCCAGAGGTCGAGCCCGTTGGTAACCCGCCACATGTCGAAATCGACTAGGAACAAGGACTACGATGCATGTCTTTATAAAATAAAGAGTAAAATACACCGGAGGTCCATTAGCTTTTGAGAATGTGTCATTCAGGTCCATTAACTTTCAAACTATATTTATAGGTCTTTAAACTTTTTAAGTGGTTCACCACACATCCATATCCCTTCATTTATGTTTGTATTTTGCATAAACATCCTTCTGTTTATTTTTCTTTCACACCTTTACCTTTCTCCGTCTTCTGAGCGCACGGTGTTGGCGGGAGAGCGCAGAAAGCATGCACGAGGGCCTGCAGACTGCAGTGCGCTACCGTCTGTGGACTATGGATGTCGGTAGAGATGCGAGCACCACGAGCCAGCAAACGACTGTGGGTGTGCGCTACCATCTGCAGGGCTCCATGAAGATGGCGATGCGGTGGGGCGCGACCTGGACTCCAACGAATGCCTCGTCTTGGGCAGTTGGGCTCTGACGACGCGCCGCCATCTCCGTTCAACACGCGCTCGTAGCACGACGTGGACGGCGAGGCCGCAACCACCAGCACGGTCTCGGACGCCGACGAGAGGCGCTGCCTCGGGACGGCGCGCTCTGCGACTGCGCTCGCGTACATGGAGGTGAAGGATGCGTCGTCAAACCGGCCGCTGAGTGTCAGCATGCGGCTCACGTCGTCAACCTAGCTCGCCGGCGTACCCCTTCTGCTGCACGCCGACGTACAGCACGGCGAGCACGACCTTGGCCTCCCTCTCTCACTTGTGGTGTTTATCACAAACACTGACACACTCACGTTCTCTACGGTGGATACACGCATACACATACAGAAGCCTGAGCACACATGACACATACAGAGCTGTACAAGCTAACAAGCTTTGTTGACACAGCCACACAACAGCTCTCGTCCTTCCCATTCATTTATAGACTATAGTAAGTATACATGCAACAAGCCATAAGAACCGGGCCATCCACTCAGCGGAGACTATCGCCATGAATAAGGTAAATAGCAAGTGCACTCATGACAAGATTAAACTCTACCAGAAGGGTATAGACATATGGTAAACCATGTGAAAGAAAAAGAAATAGAAGGAGATTTTTGTAAAATACAAACATAAAAGAAGGGTATGACATATGGTAAACCACTTAAAAAATATAGAGATCCAAAAATACAGTTTGAGAGTTGATGGACCTATATGACATTTCCTCAAAAATTAATGGACCTCTAGTGTATTTTACTCTAAAATAAAATATAAGGCCATCTTAATAATTTATATAATCAGCAAATCTGGCACGTAGCTGCACCCATCGACGCGAATTAGAGATCCAGCAATATATATACTCTTCGTCCTTTGACGAGCGAGATCAATGTCACAACCGGCGGCCACCGTGCCGGCCCCATAGCAACTGTTGCGGCGGGAGCATGCGAGGAGCTGGGCAAGTTCGTGGACGTGGACCTGGGACAGCACACTACGTAAAAAACAGTTTATAGCAATAAAATATTTTTTTTTTGACGACTGATGATATAGTTGTTCCTATAATAACGTGCTCAGAAGCTCAGAGACCAACCATCTCTATAAATAGAACAGTAGAGACGGCTGGTCATATGATTCACCTCTACATATAAGTAGGAACGGCTCCCTCACCGACCACCCCGATGTTAAAATTTATAGGGGCGGGTCAGTAACCGACCGCCCCGCCCTACAGATGCTCCAACGAATAAATACTCGCTTCAGCTCCGCTCCTCGTTCGCTTTCTCCCTCCCTCGCTCTCCTGATGCCGACAGGGCGATGGCCGCTGGCACGCGCGGGCAGCGGCGCGGGACTGGCCCCGGCGGGAGGCGGCGAGGGCCCTCGTGCGCCCGGCGGCTGCTGCTGCGATGGCTCTTGGCACCTCCTCCGGCGCGGCCCTCACCGGGCAGGGGCGGCGCGAAGCAGGGCGGCTCTCCACCAACGCGGCCGTCTCTGTGCATGGACGGTGCTGATCTGGCGCGAGGCCACGCGGATCTCCTCCTCCCGAGCCCTCCCTCCCTCCTCTTCCCCGGTGGATCCGGCGAACAACGGCTGCGGAGGGCACGCCGGCAACGGAGGCGGCGGATCTGCGGTGAGGAGTCGGATCTGTGGCGGATCTACGACGAGGAGGCGGATCCAACAAGGCCGCACCAGATCCGGCTCTCACCCGTCTCGGACCCTGTCGTCGTCGCCACCATCTCCGAACCCATCGCCACCGTCGTCGCCTTCGTCTCCGAACCCATCGCCACCGTATCCCACTCCCACCCGTCTCGGCCCCTGGTGCTGCTCCCGCTGCCACCCCATGGGCAAGAAGCTAGCAGCACCAAGCCGCACACCCTAGTTTCAGTTTTCCCCCAAATCACAGGGCCCGTTCTCCAATTTGCTTAGCCCCCTCCGATTCCCTCTCTCTTTAATCCCCACCTCCATAGATCATATCCTTCACTGCAGATCCGTGCTACATCCCCCCTCTCTGGATGCAAACGGAGCAGCCAAGGTGAGAGAGAAGGTGGGAAAAAAGGGAAATTTTGCTTTTTTTTGTTTTCCTATGATTCAGAGGTCCTGATTTGACTATGAATTTCTGATTTTTGATGCAAGCTGTAGGATTTGAAGAAATCTTGCTCCATCACCACTACATGGATCCAACTAAAGCAACGTAAGGTATGGGAGAACGTGGAACAAAGAAGCAAACTTGCAATTTTATTTCCCCATTTGTTCTTATGATTGTAAACTCACGACTTGCATCTGGATTTGTGGTTATAAGGGTAACTGTGTGATTTGATAAAATCTTGAAGCATCACATTTGTATTTCGTATAACTTTGCAGCTTTAAATATTTTTTCTGTAATTTTATTTGTTCCAAAATTAATCCTTGTAGCACCTAAAATGAATACAAACTACTGAGCGCTTGTATTATGTTGATTATAATTGCTTACCACTGTCGTTTGCCATGTACCTGCATTTATCCTACTGCTTTACTATAATTTGTGGGGTAACAGATACTATAATGTTTTTTATTCACTCAAATTTCGTTGGATCTGACATTTTCCATGTTCCTGCATTTTATCTTGCTGATTTACTACAAATTGTCTGGTAACAGGTACTATATAGATTCAGCTTTTTTCACTAAATTTCATTAGATCTGTCATGTTCCATGTTCTTGCATTTATCATCATGCTGCTCTACTACAAATATGTGCGGTAACAGTTACCTGTATTGATTCAGGTTATTCCCAAATTAGCTCTGAAGTCACCAAGTCTACAAAAAGGAGCTGTTGCTTATTAATACACCATCACTGCTGCTGCACTTGAACTTGCTTTGAGAAGGTAAATCGTTTCTGATACATCTTCTCTGCTGCCTTTGTGTGTTGAATATGTCTGTTGATCATGTTGAATATTGCTTATTTTTTAGCTAGAATTAAATAAGCACGAAACTAGCACATGTTGAATTGTTATAGAGCTGCGAATTGAGTTTGCGTTCATGTTTTATGAGGAAATATGTTATTCTTTTTCTGGAACAGGAGAAGGTGAAGAAGAGACCTGTCTCCGATATTGAAGCTTACACAGTTGGGAGGATGGGTCATCAAGAAGGAACCTTCTGCAATCCAAAAGCAGCAGCATTGTAAGATTTGACACATCTATTTTTTGTCATGCTATATATTTGCTACCCATTTGCTTAAAGCATTTTGGTCAGCCTATTAGTGACACATGCAATTTCTGAAGTTTCTGAAGCCAAGTCTCATGAGGAAGTGAATGTGTTGTTTTATGTAACTTTTGATGTGCACCTTGTTGCATGCTTCAACGTCTGATTTGTAGGATTGTATGCTATCCTAATATGCATGTGCTATAAGAGGTATTTTAATATATTTGTGTTTTTATTATCAGTAAGAACCATCAGATGGTTACCTAAAGCTAGATCCCAGCAGAGGATCTGCATAATTTTATTCTGGAGATTGTCATTACTATTTTCTGTATTGCAGGTATGCATGCAGATGCATGTCGATTTTCAAATCAAATTGTGATAGATAGGTGGGCCTGTTTTAGCTCAGACATATTAGTACTGGAGTCAATTTTGGTCTTTGCTCCCATCACATGCAAGCTAGCTGTTCCTCCACATACATATGTAATAATGTACCCTATGATATGAAAGGCTGGACTATTGAATTGTTTCCTTAAAAATTACAAAGAAGCTACATGGCCAGGGTTTGTCGAAATGAGATGATAGCGGCCTTTAGTTGTTATATTAATTTAGAACCAAAATTTTCTTTGTTTTGACCTTTTATAGTGTATTGATTATTAGTTTTGAAATTTCCTCCTATTTTCCTATGTATTGTTCTAATCGGCTGATACTTTCCTGTATCACAGGCTTCTTCGGTTACGATCAGCATTATTAAGGTTGTCTGTAGGCCTTAATTCTTGTCTGCCAGGTGTTGGAATGCTTTGAACTCTATCAAGATAGTAACATCTTTCATCAGCTCCCAGTAATAAGATGAATAATCAATATTTCACCAATGTTCTTCTGAAAATTAATGCTAAGGTATACATTTGTCAGCATCTGATTTGTGGCCGCATCTCTGTCTGTGTTTTTAATTTCTCCGGCCCGGATAAGATGCTTATATGTGCTCCAGGTGCTGAAATATGCTAACAAAAAAGTACTAGTTAAGCTAAGCTTATTTAAGCACCTATAAATTCGTTTTGACAGGATTAGATTTCATGATGATATGTTCAGATGATGCATCAGTATCTCTCTTTTAAGCACTCACGACACATGCCAGAGTGAATACTCGTGAATGCAATCCTTTTGGTCAAATCATCACCATCTTCAGCAGGGTCAAGAGCTACACATGCATGGACTGCACCATATGGGAATGACGAACAATGCGGCTTGGCTCTAACATCTCAAACTTCCTATTCTGAAAGAAAAAAACATCTCAAACTTCCTAATAAACCGTCCTTCCTGCATGTGCGCTCTTGCAAACCTGAAGAGGTATGTAGTGCTAGCAGTTTTCTGGAACAGATGTTGAGGACCCGTTCAGCGACACAAAGCAAAACACACAACGGTAAAAAAAAAAAGGGGACATTTGGCCACAGGACATTCGGAAAACATGAAATTGGCTGCTGCACACCGCCAACTCCGATATTGGCCGAGTACCATTATGAAATTGGGTTCATTTGCTAGAACAAACCGCCCCCATCAAAATATAATTTCTGCTGGTTCCGGGAGAGAAGCTATGGAAAATGACGTGTTTGCCCTCATCTTCTTCCTCTCGCTTCCTCAAGTCTGGCGACACCATTTCAAGAAGTCTGGTGAATGGCCGGCCGGCGAGCCTTGCCGTGCCTGCCCCCACCCACACCCCTGCGTTTCCCCATCCTTCGTGCCACCCCGCAGTCTCCACCGCTAAGGTCGACGTCGTCTGCGTGCTCTTCTGCACCTACGTACGGCTTCACCGATGACCTGCGCCAATCCGCCATTATCGTCCGCATCCATGCCGACCAGCACCGCGAGGGCCTCCTCCCCCGTGGGGCGCAGGTCCAACTACTGCACCAGCACCACCATCTCTAATTGTGTCGACTATCGTCGTCGTCCATGTCTCTTCGGAGCTGCTTCGGAGCCGAAGAAGAGGCGGCTGCCGCCGGTTCACTGGTGGTGGGAGTGGGACTGGTCGACCGCCGCCGGTGCACTGGTGCCAGAAGGGCATACTTAGCGCGTTCCCTAGAGGAGTGTCCAGCCCAGGGGCGGAGCTCCCGGCGGTGCGGCCAGCCCAAGGGCAGTGCTCCCCGGCGGCGCGGCCATCCCAGGGGCAGTGCTCCCCGGCGGCGCGGCCAGCCGAAGGGCGGCACTCCCCGACAGCGCAGCCATCCTAGGGGGCACGCCCTCCCCGGAGGCGTGGCCAGTCCAGGGGCGGAGCTCCTGACTGCGTGGCCATCCTATGGGCACGCTCCCCGGAGGCGCGGCCCGCCCCGGCGGCGCAGCCATCGTAGGGCACGCCCTCCCTGGAGGCGCGGCCAGCCCAGGGGCGGAGCTCCCCGCCAGCACGGGCAACCTAGGGGCTAGCTCCGTTGTGCCATATCGGCACCATATGAGCGAGAGGAAGAAGATGAGGGCAAACACGTCATTTTCCACAGCTTCTCTCTCCCGGAACCAGCAGAAATTATATTTTAATGGGGGCGGTGTGTTCTAGCAAATGAATCCAATTTCATAATGGTACTCGGCCAATATCGGAGTTGGCGGTGTGCAACAACCAATTTCATGTTTTCCGAATGTCCTGTGGCCAAATGTCCCTTAAAAAAATGGAGACCAAGAATGTCGCCAGAGGCCCATACCTTTCCGGGCTTTCCTGCTCACTTTGCACACCTCGACCGACCCAGCCCCCGCGTCGTCCTCTACGGGGCGGCTCGGGCGGCGCCGCTCCGCCCACCCTAGAGACCTCCCGTTGCGCCGCCAGAGCTGGACTCCGACAAATCGGAGGAAGGCAAGGACGACGGCGTCTAGGCCCTCTGCTCTTCTTCCCCACCTCTCTCTCTTCTGGTGGCCGCCTGCACAGAGCGGCGGCTGTCGGCGGTTCCCGGCCAGGGGTGTGCGGATCCAGTGTCCTCTCGGCCGGATCTGGGTCCTGGGTCGGCTCGCGCCCGGAGATGGCTGGGACTGCTGCGACGGTGGCAGGGGCTGCTGCGAAGGTGGTCGGCTACTGCCGGACCGGGTCCTGGATCGGCTCGCGCCCGGTGTGGACCTCCTAATGGTGGTGGCTCGGTGGTGATGCAGGTGCGGCCGGTTGAAAGGTCCTTGTTGGTTTTGGTAATTGAGTGACAACCTAGGTGGACTAATTGTGTTTATGTGAGACACACAGGTGATTAGTCCATAGGTACATGTGTATGAGCAACATATGCCATGGAGGTGAAAATGGCTTGGAGATGTTGCAAAACTCACACATGTGATGATGAAGGAGCTTAACGCACATGAGACATGACATTGAGTCATGTGATCAAGGTGGAGAAGATCAAGACAAGACTTGGCTTGATGGACCGGTTGCAAGCGTGAAGGGCAAGTCGAAGGCTTTGGAGTGATGGACCGCGTGGTGGTGAAGCTTGAGCAAGACTTGGCGCCGATGGACGATGGCAACGGTGAAGGGCAAGTGAAGTCAAGATCGATGAACCAATATGATCACGTGATGATATGAAGTGGATCATATCATTGTTGATAGTGTTGGTGCATGTGTTGCATCGACATTGGAGGAGATGGAATGGAATGCGCAAGGCAAAGGTATAACCTAGGGCATTTCATTTCACCGGTCATAGGTGTGTAGAGAAGTTTATGACCGGGTTTAGGATAGATGGCCGTACTATCAAGAGGGGCAAACTTGTTTGCATATCGGTCATCTAGTGCCACTCGAGT